CTTTATTGCCAAGAAAAACCCAGATATGCCAAAATATGCCAGTTAATTATCTTATGCCAGTTCAATTTCAAATATGCCAAATTTGTGAAATCTGGCATAAAAAATGCCGACTTGGCAACCCTGATTGTGCGTTTCTTGATTGTATGCATCCAAAGGAAATCATCCCCGCAGCCGCTAAAGTAACTCAAAGACCTGATGGTGATGTTCCCTGGCGAAATCTGGGTCGAGAAACACGCCCAGAAAAAGTACAGATAGTGGAGATGATGGCTAACACTTGTTGGCGCAAGGCTGTAAAGCTCTGCCATTCGAGGATGCCACAGAACAGGGGATTATGTACTGTGAGCACCCCCGTGTGGGTTCTGTGGGCCCTTTATCGGGAAAACAAGAACAAACCCACTGGATATCCAAAATCGTGTCGTAAGAGTCGATTAATTGGGAATTTCCTTCAAAGTCAGAGAGCATCTGCCTGAGAGGCAAGGAACCAACAGTCCGCAAGCAAATGAGTCAGATCTGTCAAACGGATGCACACGCAACACTCAAGTTTTAAAACAGGGCTGCCGTCCAGAAGTGGACGAACAATCAGAAGATAAAGAAAAAGAATTACTATGAGCACCCCTCTCACAACCACCACCACAATATTTTGGTTTGTAATTTTACTCCCTAATTTGTAAAAGGTAAGCCTTGTGTTGTGAAATACAGAATCAGAAAATAGCTAGTCGCCGGTTGCCAGAGATCATTTGTGGTGCCTTATGCGATTAGTTTATTTTAACTGCAGCTTCTGTTGACGATCGACTGCCTTTCTACTGCCTGATTGTTAGTATCTGTCAGTTATAACGGTTACTTTATGCATTGAACGTCTGTGGGTGGTACTGGCTTTGCGGAGACTGCGGTCTGTGTGGGTGTTTTTTTTTTCCTCCCCACAAAGGGCAGTGATGGAAAAATAAAAATTAGGTTTGGGGGAGAAACAATATGCTTGGGATGGGGGGGAGGTCCTTAAGGTGTCTAAACTCATAGGTTCAGGCGGCCCTGAGCAAGACTGTGAAACAGCAGACGATACTGTAACAGCTAGTAGAAAAGTAAATGAACACATGTCAACACTAAGCCTACCTGTTTACCGATCCTCGCACACCCTAACTAATCGCATTAGTCTCCAGAAATAACTATGGATTTAGTGGAAGTCTCCGCAACCTAGTAATGGTCTCTACCGAGGTCATATTGCAAAGTCCAGCATCTTTAGGTGTGGTTAGAATTAAGGGAAATGAAATTTTAGAAAAACTACGTGTTTTAGGCATTTTTTAAATTTTTTTTTTATTTCAAACATCTTAGGGTTAAATTAGCATGAAATTTTTTTTTTAAATCACCCTTGGGTCAGCCTAAGATGTTAAAAGATAGTTGTGTATTCTTTACAGGACGTTGCAGAACCAACCCCAGCATTTTTTGGCTGTTGTAGTTTTTTAAGGCAAATGTTTCATTCATTGGTTAGCCATAGGCACTAAACAGTCAGCTCTCGGTACCACTGTCGAAACCAACGCAAGACAAATAGTCCGCAGGTGAGATAGGAGCCTAAGATGAGTATCAGAGAATGTCCTCGGAAGTAAAGTGGCTGCAGTGATGTTTACCACATCATTAACTGAAGGGGAGTACCCGTGGCGGAGCGGCTAGTCTCTCGCCGTGGATCGGAAGGTCATGGGTTCGCTCCCTGGAGGAGCCGAACTTTTTTCAAAAATGAACTTGGCTCCCAGTTCGACCCAGCTTTGAGTGGGTACCGGGTGCAGTAACGGGAAGTAGAGGCGACCGGCGTGAGGCTGACCACATCACTCATCTTCTGCTGGTGGTCTATAAAAAAAATATAGGTCTAGCCTTATATGCCCTATACGCCTAAAGGCGTGGAAAAACGTCCTTTACTTTACTTCTTTGTTTTTTTTTACTGAAGACCAATCGGTTTTTGAAAATTGTGAGTCAAGCAGCATATCGCAGCATAAAATTGGACCTTTATTTTTGTTTTTTTACTTTTACAAGGCCTAAAATCACGCAAGGCGCCAACCTCTGAGTTCACGTACATATCCATTTCTCCAGGCGATAGTGTTTTACTGTGCTATGAGGAAACGCTGGAATCACAACCCATGCTGATGGCTACCGAGACTAGCGAGAAGACACTACCACGTTATGAAAAGTTCTCCACAATTAGAGCGCGGGACTTCAGGACTGTTCGTCATTGCATGCATTTAACGTGCTTCTTCTCAAACTCTAGCTGCGTCCGTGGCTTAGGCGTTGCGAGTCCGGCTCGTAATTCCAACATACCGCGATCGAAACCCACTGCTGGCTGCGTGGCTTTTTATCAAGGAATGGGGAGTCGCAGGTCGACCCAGCCTAAAAATGGGTACCAGGATGTATGTCCTGGGGAAGTAAAGACGGCCGGCGTAATGCTGACCACATTACCTACCGAGTAGCCGATTGGTCTGTAAAATATGGGTGCTCTTCCCTTGTGCCTTATGCGCCTCAAGGTGTGAAAACGGGATCTTTACTTTACTTACTAACTTCTCAAACTCTTATTTTGTAACCTATCTGCAGTAATTTCTCCTCTTGGTTTCTGTTTCCTTCACGATGTTCTCCCTACCAGAAAAACGGCCCATGGTATTTTGATCTCATGATTCTACTTTAATAAGCCTTTAATTTATGTTCCCCCCCCCCCCCCCCCCCCCCGTGTGGGTTCCGGGGCCCTATTGTATGAAAAACAAGAATAGACCCACTGCCTACCCAAAAGCATGTCGTAAGAGTCGACTAACTGGGGCGCTTCCTTTGAAGTCGGAGTGCATCTGCCTGAGAGGCAAGGAACCAGCAGTCTGCATTCAATTGAATCAAAAACTGATGCACACGCAACACTCAGGTTCTGGAGCAGGACTGTAGTCCAGAAGTGGACGAACAACCAGAACTTTACGCCAGAGTGTATTTATGTCCGCTTGCAGAGATCTTTATATCGTAGTAGAGGCCGCCCTTGACATATTATATCCATCTGTAATTCACCATAGAAGATGTCCTTAGTGACTCTAACATCAACCATTCTGTAAGTATGACCAAAACACGTGGGTACTTAAGCCATATATTATATACAACATTCTTGGAACATTCGTACAAAACTGTACTGGCACAATAAGTGACCATTATACAAAATCAGTGGTAGAGCGGTTAGTGCGATGCCTTCCCGAAACAGGATTTGTGTCCAAACAGAACAGCTCTGGCGTTCGGAACACCTTATTACGAGGGGGCTTCATATGAAAATTGTAAAAATGTGATAGGAATTACAGTAACCGTGCCACTGTCTTGTAGCCTGTCAGTACAGAGTATCCGTACTAAAAACAGGTAGAAGATGTCGAGGCCGACCTCTATTACGATATAGAGATGTGTGCGAGCGAGACATGAATGATACAGGTATTTAGGTGGACTTGTGGGAACAAAATTCAATGGACCGCGTTGTGTGAAGGAGCACATCAGGAAAGGAATGAGAATGAAGGAAGAAATGATTGCAGACAGGATGAGAGCGTCTGAGAAGAAACAGACTAAACACAATTGTTGGCAACAATGATCCTGAAATCCCATGCTATAATTGTGGAAGATTTTTCTTAAGGGGTCACTACACAGCATTTTTTCCAATTTATGACAAAAATATCACTTTTTCAATGTGTTCGTTTTTGTAAAGTTCGGCATTCGTAGAATAGATGACACACAAAATATATGTCATTTGTAAACAATTTAGCATTGAAAAGTTAATACTAACGACACCTCCTCGTGCACTTTTTTAAGAGAAAAAAAGTTTAAAAGTCAGTTTTCTCAAATCTCTGTATTTCAGTTTGCTGTGTGTGTGAAATCCTAAAATCTAAGCTAATATAAAGAGTAGAAACATGAAACTTTGTATGCATACTGCGTAAACAATATAATAGGGACTGGTCTATATAAAAGTAGATTTTAGAAAGTTTTTGTTTTTTCAAATTTGATTATTATCCGATGATGCTAGATTTTTTTGACTTTTTCAATAAACCTACTTTTTAAAATTCTACGAAAAATATTTAAAACATGTTTAAAGTAAATAAACTAGACCTGTACCTGTAAATATGATAAAAAATCAACGAATCCATCATCTATAGTTGAATACCTGTGTTTTTTTTTTTTTTTTATTTTAGGATCCTAAGTACATATTGTTTTTTTTTTTTTTTTTTGACAAGATAGCGGCTATTGCCATGACAACTATGAATTTTTTAACACTTAAAGTATACAAATGTAATAACTTGTATCCCTACAAATGACCATTATAAAATAACTGCTCTAACTCTGTAAATAAAAAAATAATTTTTTTTGGTGTAGTGACCCCAATACGGGCTAGTCAGACCATAGGCCATGGGTGGTGCGTTCTATGCTTTCTTAATAAAATAACACTGTCGTCTAGAAAAACGAAAAGGTGCAAATCATCTATTTACCTCTCTGTGTAGGTATCTCTTGGAACACAAGGATTTTTGTATATACTATTTGATTTACCTCTCTCAGTAGGTATCTCTGGGAACATAATGAGATTTGTATATACTTTTTGATTTACATCTATCTCTCTCTCTCTCTCTGTGTGTAGGTATCTCTTGGAACATAAGGAGATTTGCATATACTATTTGATTTACCTCTCTCTGTAGGTATCTCTGGGAACACAAGGAGTTTTGTATATACTATTTGATTTACCTCTCTCTGTAGGTATCTCTGGGAACAAAATGAGATTTGTATATACTATTTGATTTACATCTCTCTCTCTCTCTCTCTCTCTCTGTGTAGGTATCTCTTGGAACATAAGGAGATTTGTATATACTATTTGATTTACCTCTCTCTGTAGGGATCTCTGGGAACATAAGGAGATTTGTATATACTATTTGATTTACCTCTCTCTGTAGGTATCTCTGGAAACATAAGGAGATTTTTATATACTATTTAATTTACCTCTCTCTGCAGGCATCTCTGTGAAGATGAGGAGACAGTTGATCGCCTTGGATGGCAGTGAGCAGTCGGAATACGCTTTCGAGTGGTACCTCAACAATGTCAACAGGTATGTTGCAGTACTGGGGTGAGGGTTCCAGGTGTAAGAACGTTAAACAAAGCAATTAGTTTTTTACCAAAATGGTTCTGTGAAACTGTTCAATATTAGGAATTTATCAGGTGCCGATTTCATACTGAATGTTGGTTGCAGCGAAGCTCCGACGGTCTTTTTGCTCGTCCTGTTGTAAAAGCTCTCAGACTGTCGTTTATCATCTTTTATTTTTTTTTTTGTCTTTATTGTCTGTATTGACCTTGTGGGGTGGTTTCTGGGGGTGGAAGGGCAGGGGCAGGGTCATAAGTCTGAGATGTAAGGTCGCGTGGATAGTGGAGACATCACGAGCTGTGTATGTGGGGGATTTGTGTCCCTGGGAGAAAAACTCTACATTCCTTATCCACGAAATTACCAGGTCTTTCGAATGAAACTTTCGCATTCCTACCCACTCGGCCAACCGCCACTCCTCAAACATTTGTGAGCTTCGCAGTACCAGACATCGCAGCAGCAGCCCTTTCTATGCCGTTACCTGGCATTTTATTCTCATCATTGTATTGCTATATATCTCGTGCTGGCTTATGGCGTCATTTTTGAAACATCTGTCTCGGTGCACTTTTTTTTCTCACACCCCAGAGCCAACAGGTGAGCGTTATTTTTTTTTTAATTGTAAGAATGTTACAAATGCCGAGAACATACACAGCACGGTATTTAAAAAGCCCCAACTACCCCTGCGAAAAAAAGTCCAAGCGCAATTGTAAAGAGTGTCTGCCAGTCTGCCACAGAGACCAACTGTCAGGCGCTCTTGAAATAATGAAACTTGAAGAAGCTGCTAGCCTATACTTTTTTCCCTGTTTTTTTTTCTTAGCACTGTAAACTCCGGCGAAAAGTTCTGGTTGTATATTCAATGGTAACCCACCCTTTTATTGGTGGTACTATGCAATTGGTTTTGAAAAAAATTATCGCAATCTACATAGAGCCAGTTTTAACATACGGCTGTGAATCCTGGACAATTAATAAACAGGCCCAACAATATCTTGAGGCCTCGGAGACGTGATATTACAGAAGAATCCTCACAATTTCTTGGAAGATGAGAGGAGTAACTCGGATTTTTTTTAAAGAGGCAGGTGCTCGTAGACAACTTATTACAAACATCAGAAAGAGACAGTCATCATATTTCAGTCATGCTATGAGAAGAGGGAAAATGGAACATGTGTGATCACTGAAAAGATTTGTGGAAAGAGAGACAGAGGAAGACAGCGCGAGAAGATTCTTGACAGCTTTTTGTCATGTCACGGAGAGGTGTCAACACACGAACTAATACACGCAGTTGCGAATCGCAGATTGTGGAAAGGCATGATCGCCCAAGCCAGTCGGCAAATGCACTTGATGATGATGAAGATTCAACTGTAGCTGAATTCAGTAAATTGAAATATGTAATTTATGGTGTCAAATATATGATAAATTGTTATCATCATGTTGGCGTCTGTGGCATAGGCGTTGCGAACGCGCTTTGTAATGCCGGGGTGCCGGGTTCAATCCCAGCTGCGGGCCACGCGCCTTGGTTTCAACAGTGGTATCGAGAAGCCGACCGTCCTGAAAGCAATGACAAACTACTGGATGTAAATTCGCCTAGAAAAACCACAACAGCCAAAAAAATGCGGGGGTTGGTTCTGTAACGTCATGTACAGGATTCGCAACTAACTATCATCATGGTAATACAATAATTATTGAATGCATTTTAATAAATCCATAGTTAAAACAACAAACAATTAGAATTTTAATTTTTTTTATCACAAACACACACACAAATGTTGCTAATTCTGACTCCAGGCCTGGAGACGAAGTCGTCCTCTTCCACTGCTCCCAGTTTGTCCTAAATGTGGGACTGCCTGGCGCCGCCGCAAACGTGGAACAGGTCAGCAAGAAAGTACAAGAATCGCTCAAAAAGGCAGAAGATATCACTTCCAGGGCCAACGAGAAGCTGAAGGCCAGAGGTCAGTTATGTGCGATGTGGTTATTTCTTCTCCTCCTCCTCTTTCTTCCTCCTCTTTCTTCCTCCTCTTCTTCTCTACTTTTTCCTATCTTTTTCTTATTTTCTTCGTATCTTCTTCTTTTTTTCTTCTTATCTTCTTAGTCTTATTATCTTCTTACCTTCTTCTACTTCTCCTTCTTTGTCTACTTCTTCTTCCTCGTCTTCTTCTCTTTTGTGTGTGTGTTCCTCACCTTATTTTGTTCTTCCTATCTTTGTCTTCCTAAATTCTTTTTTTCTTCCTTTTCTTATACTTTTCTTTTTCTTCTTCTTCTTCTTTTTCTTCTTCTTCTTCTTCTTCTTCTTCTTCTTCTTCTTCTTCTTCTTCTTCTTCTTCTTCTTCTTCTTCTTCTTCTTCTTCTTCTGCTTCTTCTTCTTTTTCTTCTTCTTTTTCTTCTTTTTTTTTCTTTCTTGTTCTTATTCTTATTCTTTTTTTTTTTAATCTTTTCCTTCCTGAATTCTTTTTTCTTCCTCTTATTAAATTTTTTTTCTTCTTTTCTTCTTCTTATTCTTTTCTTCTTCTTCTTCTTTTCTTCTTCTTCTTCTTCTTCTTCTTCTTCTTCTATTTCTTTTTTTTTTCTTCTTTTTCATCTTCTTCTACTTCCTTCTTCTTCTTCTTCTTGTTCTTTTTCTTCTTCTTCTTCTTCTTCCTTCTTCTTCTTCTTCTTGTCTTCTTCTTTTCTTTTCTTCTACTTCCTTCTTCTTATTTTCTCTTCAACTCCATTGTAATTGTCTTCTTCTTCTTCTACTACTTCTTCTTATTTTTCTTCAACTCCATGTCATATGACGTTAATAATCATGTCTGCTAAACAGTATTCTGGATCGTGTACTGTTTCTTGGTTTTAATTTTATAATGCCAAACTTTCCAACGACTTTCCACTAGGTCTCCCGTTGCCTCTTTTCCCCTTCTATTGTTTGTTGTTGTCACAACGTACTTACAGCTCTCTGCGTTGCAAGACGCAGCCTAAAAATATAGAATGACCCCCCCCCCCCTTCCCCTTTTTATAGCAGCAGTAATTGTCGTGGGATTATATTGTACACACCTAGATCGCATAACCACAAAAGTCACAGCCTATGCTTTTAGAGCAGATAAAACTGTCAATTTTATATATATATATATATATATATATATATATATATATATATATATATATATATATATATATATATATATATATATATATATATGTGTGTCAAATACCACTTCCATCCTTTGTCGTCGGGGTACCTAAGCACTAAAACGTATCAACCTGCATATAGAAGTAGCTAAACACAACACGAACTGTGCCTAGAACACTCAGCTGAGGAAACGTAAAAGATGCTCACAAATACGTTTCAAAAAGAGTCTTTATGAGTGGACACAATTAAACAGCAGACAAGGTCAGCATGGGACAAAAAAACGTAACGTAAAAAAATGTGGGCCAGGAATAGCTATTACAGAAGGAAAATATATGAATGAGCAAGAAAGGGAAAAATATTGTTTGTAAAAATAATAATTATAATAATATGAATAAAGAAGGTGGATTAGTAAGTATGCTGGCATTGATTCATGCATGGCTATGAACGCCAAAAGAATGAATGCTTTGGGGTTTCAAGGAAAGAAGTTGCCGGAACTGAATTGATCCACGGGGCAAGATTTTATGACAGTAGCAGAAATGCCGATTTTATGTTATATTATGTTATTAAATTAACTTGTATTCCCACACGCCACGCGACGCCACACACACGCACATACACACATTCAAATACGCACATTCACATACATTCACCCGGTTATGTCGATCTCATCCTTCAGGTATCAAAGGCTACGTAGTCATCAAATCTGGCATGAAGCCAGAGGAAGGCATCTTGCAGACGGTCAGCGAAGAAAACGTAACCCACGTCATCATGGGAACTCGAGATCTGGGGTCACTGCAGAGAGCTTTCATTGGCAGTGTTAGCAGCGCCGTTGTCTCTAACGCCAAAGTGCCTGTTACCATCGTGAAAAAACCACACTAAGAACGTAGCATATCATGTTTTAAAATATTAATATATCCTAGAAAGACGAGAAATATTTCTTTGGTATATACCTAGTGATTTGTTGATCATAACTATTTGTGTATTTACAGTTGTGTGTTGTTTATGGGTGTTCTCTAGCTCAAAGCTGGTGAACATGTTTCATCATCTTTAGCGTACTACGGTTCAGTGTTGGCAGTGGATGGTTTACAAAACAGACCATTCTTGTGATACTTATACAATGGTACCAATCAATTGAAGATATTGGGGCCTCAACATGTAACAATTAAAGAAAAAGCAGTGAATGCACACTGCAGCCCACCTTTATTGGCAGATAACGCTTGATTATAAATTTTAATTGCATGGTAATGATGAAGCCTCGATGACATAATGGCTGCAAGGAGGCTTTTCAAGGTAAAAAAAGAACTCTTTTGGTCACCAGGGAAGATTTTATGGCAGTAACAGAAATGATGATTTATTAAAATGGCTAAATTGCTCGTTGGTGATGGGATGTCCATGGTGTAGTGACCATTGTGCTTACCTATCAAGTTAATGGTCTGTGTTCAGTCCTTAGTTGTGGCAGAATATTTCCCATATATTACATGTCTGGCATCGACCCAGCTAAATTAATTGATAACAGATAATTTCAAGAATTGTCTGAGAATTGCTAGCAAAGAAAAGTAATATTGCAATAGTAAACCAATACAAACAGCCAAAAATGACTAAAATTTATATCGCGGCTTTTACAATTACACACATTCTTAAAAAATATGCCCTTGGCCAACTCACCCAAAGTTGTCCCTCTCATCTAATTCACCCCAAACTTCACCTTTTTCTGTTCCGAATTATACAAGACAAGTGTTTAGTCTGTTCCTTTGTTTCAGGAAAATCAGTTAACGCTTCACTTGTTTTTTTTGCATGCTGTCAGAACATATTTTTTTAATGTGAATGATTCCTTTGTCTGTGAAAATGATTCCAGCCAATGTGAAAGTAATGCACTTGTGATGGCATCTATTACCTCCTTGGCTAATTCTCCAGGGATTGAAAAAGTAATTTTTTTTTTTTTTCGTTTCTGCTTCATATCTTTTGTCTTGTTGGTTTCAATTCAAATATATTCGTATACCTTCCCCATCCTTAAAAATGCTGCTATTGCTATAGAACAAGCTAAAACCACTGGATGGTACAACAAGGATTCTTACCATCATTTTACAGACATAGATTCAGTCTATGGTGACAATACGTACATATTTACTGTATATTCTTTATGTGGTGATCATCATACAGACAGATGCGTTGTATATTCAATATGTGGTGATCATACTGATAAGCTGTATTTCCATTAAGTGGTGATTATACAGAATGAATAAATGAGTGAATATATAAACGAATCAATCAAGATTTTACATCAGTGTGCACTCATGATATTCCTACACGTGCTTTGTCTTCTTCCTCAATCGCCAGCAAACAGTCGACATGCTAATAACATCAAATGCAACCTGATTAAAGGTCCACCTTAGCTTTCCCGGCCCCTTCCCCGTGTTGGATCTCTTCCTGAATCACACCCCTTGTTGAATGAGTCTGTCAATGTATATATTCTCTCTCTCATTCTCTCTCTCTCTCTCTCTCTCTCTCTCTCCCTCTCTCTCTCTCTCTCTCTCTCTCTCTCTCTCTCTTGGTTCTGTTGCACTGTCTATTTGATCCCAGAGGGCCTTTATCATGTCTATTTTATTATAAAGAAGCTCACATACGAGAGGAGTGGCAGCAGCTAATCTATCAGCCTACTTATTACCCCATACACCTGAATATCTTACCTACTTACTTAGTCGCTCCTCTTCTACCTTGGGGTGTAGAGGTTTGCCAGAGAGATCGCCAGACGTCTCTATCAGCAGTTTTCTTTCTGGCTTTGTTCCATTCCAGTCCTCTGTCAGTGAGGGACTGTCGGATGTTGTCTTCCCAGCGCACCCTGGGTCGTCCCGGAGGTCTGGTTCCCTGGTTCTTAGCCTCCCATGCTTGCCATGATGGCCGATTTTCTCCCATTCTGCATACATGTCCAAACCATCGTAACTGTGACTGATCTACTCGGGTTAGCCACCTGAATATCCTTGACATAAATTCCATGATATGCTCCTGGTTTAGGTCGACAGTTTCAATTTTCGGAAGCATGCTCTGCGAGTCCGTCACAGTTACAACATGTCGGGATTTTCTGTTCTTAGACCACTGGAATGCTGTCGTTACTGCTTCCAACTCCATTCGCATACTGGATGTTGTGACATTATACACTGTAGGCGAGACTATTATCAAACAGTGTCTATACATTTTTGCAGTAAAACACTGTTATTTCCTGTCCCTACCGATATGTCCCTACCGATATGTCCCTACCGATCTGTCTGTGTATATAACGATATCACCCGAGCATGCATTTTCATTGATCAACTACTGTACTGCTGTCTCTGTTTCACCAGCTATCCATGCCCAGCATCCTCGGCCCAACAGATACAAGTAAATTGCATATTCAGTCAACAGTGATCATACTGACACATTATCTGTACGTTCATTCTGGCCCGGCTCGCTAGCGCAGTTGGTCAAAACCCTCGGCGCGGCGATCGGGTGACGAACTCCCTGTGGTCCGGGTTCACGCCCGGGGGTAGGCAGAAAAGCCACATTTCTCCCAGATTTACAGTATCTATCATGGAATCAAGACCGAAGGGTTGCGATATTCATAGTACGAAGCCAAATGGTTTACAACTTATGGTTTCTAGATACTTATATTCTAGTTCAAAGTCCTGCTAATCCATCGACTTCGCGACTTTCATCTTGTAGAATTTGAGTGTTGTTTGCACATGCGCGTTTTAGAGATGTGTCTCGTATGTTTGCAGACTGTTGCTTCAGTGTCTCTTAGGCAGATGCTATCCGACTTTGAAGTAAATATCGATCCTATCTGTGTTGGCCAGGCCCCCCCCCCCCCCCCATCCCTTATCCCCCCTATTTAGGAACTTGTTTCTAGTATGACCGCAGAGAGATGTGGATTGGTCTGAACTTTGGTCCTGATGCACTACCTTGCGTGTTTCAGTGATCACGCAGAGACAACTGTATTGTATTTCATGATGATCATGCAGACAAGAATTTAATAAATACATATAGAATCACATTTGATGTCTTTATGTGTTGTTGTCGTTGTTGTTTATTTTATTTTTTCTTGTTTCACTTTTTCTAGGGGACTGAGTGGTCTTAAAATAGTGCATCCGCCTCGAGTGCTGGAGTTCCCGGGTTCATTTCCCGGTGACCTCGACACCCCTCCTCCGACCCCACAGGAATAGTAAAAGAAATGCATAAAACAAATATTATGTTTTTAACAACAGACATAGCAGCGAAATAATTAATCAAACCACAAGGCCAACATTGAATCGGAAACTCCAGTAGTACACTGGTTGTAAATGCCCTGTACTTTTCTTCGCATATTTCCAACAATACAAGATAAACTCTTAATTTCACATTCACACTAGCTTACTTACACACGTTGTTTCATCTAATATTGCGTCATTACTTCATCTTCATAGCATTGTAGATATCGCTCAGTCTGAGAAAGGCTGGGAATAAAACCCGAGAAAATCTGTCAAGAAATAAATAGATCAAACGGTGGTTCTCAACTAGTTGGTCGTGACCCGTTTGTGGGTCGAACGACCCTTTCAGCATCGGAAAACACATAGTCATTGAAAGTATGAAGAAGCAACGAAAATTTTTATGATTGGGGGGTCACAAAAACATGAGGAACTGTATTAAAGGGTCGCCACAACATAAAGAGCTGTATTAAAGGGTCGCCACAACATACAGAACTAAATTAATGTGTCGCTGCATTAAGAATGTTAAGAGCCACTGGATTAAAACACATAATGAAAAAAATACCCATTGTTAAATTCATTGAGACAGAAATAGCTAAATGGATTGGCCACCATAAATGATTCCAGCGATGTTAGCAGCGAGAGCGTAAAAAGTGACAATGGAAACGTTAGAATGCAGAGGTAGACGTTTCGAAAGTGGACTGAAAGTGTCAATGACAGCCTGAGGACCTGACAACATCGTAGCATGACAAGCGGCCTTAGAAACCTATGGTATTTGGTGCCCATAGGAGAAAGACGGGGGGGGGGGGGTGTATTTTGTTTTTTTAAAAGTTTGCATTTACCATAGCTCGATTTTGGGATTTCTTTTAACAAGGACATCGTAGTGCATAATTAGGAGGCCTGATTAATTCCCTTGCAAATAAAGTTCAAAGGATAGTACACTGTACAGATCCCTTTCTTTTGAAACGTAACTTCCACGTACCTCACTACCCCTGACGTCTGCTCACGGTGTGCTTGACAAGGACTCGAGTCCAACATGATACCATAGTAATCGGCTCTCTGATTGCTTTTGAGTATATTCTAGCGAACAAATTCATTCTGCACAAACTGGGACAGATACGACATGAATCCAGCTCACATATGTCAAGTGTTGTTTCATGTGAGAGTAGTTGTGACTATGTCGTACGTCCTTCTTAGGACGTTATTTTTTGTTATTTGAAGCCCCACTCTGGCTTTTGCCAGGGGCCGCAATATAGGCAGGTCATCATTATGGCCAAATGTCTGAACGCGGTTTCTGGGACCTCTCCACGGTGATCCTCATCCGCATGGTGGCACTTTGTGTCATCGGGTGTTTATCGCTTGTGTGATGTCCTGGTGGGGTATAAAAAGCCAAGCCAAGTCATGTGAGAGTAAAAACAGCCAGTAGTTTCAGTTAAGTCAGGACAATTTCCTACATTGCTGAAGTGATTTTCTCTAACAACACAAAGCTAGATTATGAGTTGCAAGAGGTTTCTGTTGTGAAGGATTATAACTAAGATCTGTGTTTGAAATTCCATGTCATTAAATTTGATTGCGAATAAATTTCTATCAATTTCTTTCCATTGGATGCAGCACATCCGGTGGTTCTTGATATTTTCATAAAAATTTATCCTTTTAAGTGCTTTT